TAAGGCCTTTTAAATGGTAAGTCAATATCATTCATACAACAATGAGCGTGCCAATGCTCTTAATCAAGTTGAATAAATCCAGAGTCGTAGCTAGAGATGTGATTTAAGTATAAAGTTAGTGTGCGTAGTATCGCATTCATCCAGACAACTAACTTTCCTACATTTGTAATTATGTGTTTAATTGAATTTGGTCACATGTATACAAGAAACATGATTCAATTAACTCATATTCGAGGACAGTAGATAAGATTATCCATAACTAAAACAAACACCAAAATTGAATCCAAGAACATATAAAAATGTTCACAAAGTAAATGGTTTACTAAGGGGATTCAGTCAACAAGGTCTTCCATGTCAAAATTTTGTTCTTTCAACGGTGTCCGGTGGAGCAAAATTAGTCTCACATATTTACCACGAGAATGGTACTCCTTAATGGCATTGGTACGGGCAAGAACATGTGCATAACCAATGATCTATTATATCAAGACGAAAGTAGATTCTGCAAGGTTAAGGTTTGGGAATATTATCCTTTATTCTTGAAGTTTTAGGTCTTAGGTGCCAAGGATCACGCTTCGAGCGTGATGCCACACCTTGGTAGGCCTTGATTCTACCATAGGTTGTAAAAACAAACTCAAAATTGAATTGTGAAAGAGACAGACCTAAACTTAGGTTCGGTAGGCTCCGGTCGAAGTTGGAATGGTCTGTTTGGTAGGCCTCTGCCAAAGCAAAACAATACCATTCGATGGGCTCCAACTAAAACTGGGAATCACCATTCGGTAGACCTTGACCGAATTGGATGGGGTCATTCGGTAGACTCCAGCCGAGCTGGGTCTATACCGTTCAGTAGACTCCAGCTGAGGTTGTGTCTGTACCGTTTTTCACATTTTTGGTAATAATCAAATCCGAGAATTTGGTAAACTTCCGCTTTCTACATTGTTGCTTCAAGAATAAGTTAAAACATGGAATGACGAGAAAAATATTCTCCAGTCAAATTCGATCGAATTTATAAACTTCAGAATTGTACTCATTTATGGACGTAATCATGGTATGCTTCAGGCAATATCTTTCATGATTAAATGAGTCATAGAATCAAGCCAAAGAGCCATGAAATCCTCATTCGGGAGGTATTTCCATTAGTAATGCTTGGGGCATAAGTCTTCAAGTGAAGATCATGGTGAAGGCTTATTTAGTTTTTCCATGCCATTGTTGGCTTCAATGGTTACTCAACTTCTTGATAGTCAAGTGGAGATTCACGTCTTGTACCCACATAAAGTGGTTTCGGTCAAGAAATGTCCAAATCAGTGAAATTGAACTTGTTACAGTACGACAATCCATTAAATAGGGGGAACAAGATTGTGATTGGTGCTATAGAAATAAGATATCCATAAGTATCAAAGTTAGAACATTCGGGTTCTATGACATGGTTGACATGAAAATTTTGAGTTTTCATGGGTGTATTGTTTTATGAAAACTTCGGGTTTCAAGGGTACTAAATTTGAAACTACAGGTTCTAGTTTAGTTATGAACTTCTAGTTCATAAAAGGAGGTACATGTAAGAACACAGAATACAATATACAACTAAGTGTAATGGATTTGGGTTACTTCAGGAACTCAAGTGTGAGTGCTTCGAGACTACGAAAGGGAGTCAGCGGTTCAAAGAAAATAAATAAATTATTGAATCGTTAATGTCCAAAGGTGGGCTTCAGGCCAATAATTTTGGATGTCTTGTCAGATTAATGGACTACTGGTCACTTTAATTAATTCAATAGATCAAGATAATTCAGGGTCGATCTTAGAAGCAAAAATAATATTTGCCTAGGCCTAGTAATTGTTTAATGTTGGTTGCAAGCCACGCAAGAAAAATAAAGCCCAAATTGGGCTTGGGTTGGCTCCATTGGGCATCCCAATAACCTGCAAAGCAAGTTGCATGCTTGTTGCAATATTACGGGCCGAGATGAACAGCCCAGCAACATGCTGGTATGCAGGCCAAAACAAAAGAAGCCCAAGTGGGCTTGGTCTATGAATAAAAAAAAACATCAGCCTTAGCTAAATGTGGATCGAGTGAACATAAGCCCAAAAGAGAAAAATGTTAGGCGGATTATCCTGGGATAGGGTCTAACTGATGCAGGCCTGTTCTGAAAACAATCTCTAACAAGGCTAGGGGGTTTTCCGAAAAACATGGTAAAGACGGCTGTGTGTGCAGCTACTAGTGGAGGCTGGAAGTGTTGCAGACGAAGGTAGCTAGCATCAAAGACCATAGCGATAGCACCATGGGTGTCTAAGAACTCGAAGATTCAAATTAAATCTTCAAAATTCCCGACGAGATTTCAACTAGAATCTCATATTTTTTCATTGAAAACAAGGTGCAGATGGCGATGGGATTGGACTTTGGGCTTCACAGATGGCTGCCCAATTTTCTTTTGGGAAGGCGATGACAAAGTCATCGTTCTGGAGGTCTGTTGCTGAGCAGTGATGGCTTGGCTCAAATGGTGCGACTTCAGGCCGCAACTCAGCCATATTTTTCCCCTTTTTTCTTTTTTTTTTTCATATTTTTATTATTTAGGGTTTTCATAACCTATAAAATAAAATCATGCTTTTATTTTATTTAGATTATTTGACTCACAAATTCCACACAATGAATTTAGAATTGCGTTATGCATGAACATATATATATATATATGTATATATATATATATTGAAAAATATGTGAACATATACAATATATGTATCAGAATGAAAATATAAATGTAGGGGGTTCATGCATCATGGGGATGTTATCATGCTTCATGGTCGTTTCAAATATTTTAATTTATTTTAAAAAGAACCTGATTGGCGGAAAACAACTTAGCCTTTGAATTTGAAAAAGATTCTTCTCTAAAAGCTAGAATTGCATCTCCAATGCGTTGTATCACGTTCACCAAAGAAAAATTGAATTGAATCAATAGCATGTAGATCAATTCAATAAAAGAATAAATTAATCATAAAAAAGAATGATTAAAATGTAATATTCCCCTGATTGAAGAACAAACTCTCTGTAGAGAGGGATACGGCACAATAGAGAGAAAGACAGAGATGTGTAATTTTGAGGTGTGTGTTATGCCACCTCATTGTGCCTTTATTTGTAGTAGTAGGGAAGGTAAATCCCCTTCCCCAATAGAATTACAACTCTAATAGGATAATATCTAGTCTAAGAGATATAGTAGAATCTCATAAGGATATCCCATATATGATATGATTTACACGATCACATTCCTAATCTAATAGGACTGCAACACCGATTTCTATTTCCCTATAATATTAACATTTCTCTTAGATTTGGCACTTAGTACTATGGTATAGTAATATTCCTCTTTACTTGTAAATGAGAGGTCTTAGGTTCGATTCTTGACAAAGCGAATTTGATACACATTATTGCTAGCCCATTGTGAGACTAAGCCTACCTCATCCCCTTAATGTAAATATATCGTTTGCTAAAATAAAATAAAAAAGTTGCTATTAGTTTTAGATAATAAGTTTGGTACAATTATTTTACCATTACCGTTCGAGAAAAAAAATACAAAATGGGTATGGTACAGAAGTTAGCAGGGTAGGAGAAGCTTAATTTATTGTAAGGTTAATCTTAATTTACTACTGATGAAGTTTCTTGGTTTTAACATTTGGTACATGAAGTTTTTTTTCATCCCAAAGTGGTACCTAAAGTCATAATTTTGGAATACTTTCATACATATGTTTAGGTTGCTATTAAATCAACCCTTAATTGATGGTATGACACTCATGTGGACAATAATTAGACACCACGTGTTAATATGCATCCATGTGAATATTAAGAAATTAAAAAAATCTGGGCTCTATCCTGTCCCCTCACCCACTCCACATTCCCCTTCCTTAATACCCACCCTAACCCTCCCTCCCTTCCTTCTCCTCTCCCTTCTCTCTTCTGCACTCATCCAACCCCTTTCCCTGATACCCATGAGCGAAGCTACAAAGGTGCACGGAGGGGCTGGCACCCCTCCCCTTGCCGAAAATCAAGCCCATAAGAGGTGGCTCCGCCTCTCCGGTATAGTCAGAAGTGATGAAATTCCGTCTGGTTTTCTGGTCTTTTGGGTTTCCCTGCTCTATTGCAGCACAGGCTAATCGCGAGCTCTCTGTTTTTCCAAAAAAAAAAAATACCTAGGCCAAAGAAAGGAGGAATGAAGATCTGCATTTTGCAGCTTCTAGAAATGAAGTTCTGATTCTAACAAAGAAGAAGAGAAATGAAGAAGGGAGATACTTTCTCTCTCTCCCATCCCACCACACATGCCCTTTCAGAATTACAATTTTTTTTTAACTGTTGGCCAATCAATTTGCGCCACCTAACTTGCTATTTCTGATTTATATTGAAATTTGTTTTGTTTTTTAATTATTGTGTAATTAATTTGACCACTCTTCCAATATTTTTTTAGCCACTTGTTTGACAATTTTATTTATCTTAAAATTCACCATACGAGCTTCAAAAAATAATTTGTAAAATATTATGAACTCGTAATTATTTGTTTTTTTTCTCTTACCATCAAATTCAACAAAGTAATAAAGAAAATTTGTCAATATTTTTATATATTATATGTTTTATAATCAATATTTTTCGGATATTATATGATATATAATAAATAGACAATTATTTATACGGTATATAATAAATTTATTTAAATTTGCCGGTTCTCTCATAAGTGTTAAGTAATAGCACGATACAACAATAAACGGTGCTTAAATCATCCTTCAAATAATATTGTTGTTCAAACCCTCCTCCGACTATTTCGAGTAGTCCAAATCTTCTTTTGAATATTTTTGTTAGCGCATATTCTACTATGAATATTATGGGTAGTTCAAATAATCTTCTTACAAATTATAGACTTAAACCTTGAATAAATGTTCACAATGTTCACATTTATCGAAACTCCAAACTTTTTAAATTTAACTCCTCCCCCGACAATTCCTGCTTCGCCCTCCCTACCCCCATCCCTTCTCTTTTTTGCACCCATCCAACCCCCATCCCTCCTCGACTCCCCGCATTGCCAACGAGGAGATCATCTCTACTCTCCTCTCTCTCTCTCTCTCTTCATTTTCTTTGAATTCCCTTCCACTTTTCTCTGATCCGCCACCACCGCCGCCGCCCTAATAGATCTCTCATTCCCAAAGAGAGCTTAGGGTTTCCAATTCAAATTTCGAACAATCGTAAGGGGTTTGGAAATTGGATTTTTTTCAAAGTTTTTAGGGTTTCCGTTTCAATTTGCGTTGAAATTTCCTAATTTGGTGTTGATTTTGGGATTACTGAATCTAGGGAAGTTGGGGAATTGAGAGGATGGTGTGGATTTGGATGTGAGATGAGGTTGATTGTGTATGTGTTTGTGCTAGAAGGAACTTTGGGCTCGTCGTTCGGACTGGTGCAAATATGGTTGAGAGACGACACCCTCCACCACAGATTTGTACAGCAGGGAAGACAGACGGGAAGGGGAGTAAGGGAGGAAGATAACTTTGTAATTTTTTTATTTTTTTAGTTTATTAATTTTTTTTTATTTTTTAATATCGAATCCACGTCACGTTCAGATATTATCCACAGACCAAGAAATAGTAAATTGAGATTAAACCTAATTATAATTATAATGATTATTGACACGGACCAAGAAATAGTAAATTGAGATTAAACCTAATTATAATTATAATGATTATTGACGGCTAAGAAGGAGAAGAAAGAGGAGGAGGAGGGCCAAATTTTGCGATGCCTCTCAGAGCACAATCAGACGAGTTCACCCACAACTATTAAAAGTCCAAAGGGAAACTGAAACTTTGATTCTTTCTGAACCTGGGAAGCTCCAGGAGGGTTTCGGACCTTTCGGCGGTTAGCCTTCCTTCTGTTCACTAACTTATTTGTAGTTGCTTCATTTAATTGGATTGGATTGGATTGAATTGGGTAGCGTAATTTAATTTTTGTGGTTAGGGGAAGTGGGGACGGTGGACTGGTAATCGTTGTAAGTTGGAAAATAGTATTATTGGGGGGAGAGAGAAAGAAGGATGGGGGCGAGTAGGAATAGCGACCCAAATCAGGACGGGTCAGATGAGCAGCAGAAACGATCGGAGATCTACACCTACGAGGCGCCGTGGCACATCTACGCCATGAACTGGAGCGTCCGTCGGGACAAGAAGTACCGGCTGGCCATCGCCAGCCTCCTCGAGCAGGCCCCAAACCGAGTGGAGATCGTGCAGCTGGACGACTCAAACGGGGAGATCCGATCGGACCCCAACCTGTCCTTCGAGCACCCGTACCCGCCCACCAAGACCATCTTCATCCCGGACAAGGAGTGCCAGAAGCCAGACCTGCTGGCCACCTCCAGCGATTTCCTCCGCGTGTGGCGCATCTCGGGGGATGAGGACAACTCAGACTCCTCGTCGTCAGTGGAGCTCAAGTCCCTCCTCAACGGCAACAAGAACTCCGAGTTCTGCGGGCCCATCACCTCCTTCGACTGGAACGAGGCGGAGCCGAAGCGCATCGGCACCTCCTCCATCGACACCACGTGCACCATCTGGGACATCGAGCGCGAGGCCGTAGACACCCAGCTCATCGCCCACGACAAGGAGGTGTACGACATCGCATGGGGCGGCGTCGGTGTATTCGCCTCCGTCTCGGCGGACGGCTCCGTGAGAGTGTTTGACCTGCGCGACAAGGAGCACTCCACCATCATTTACGAGAGCTCGGAGCCGGACACTCCCTTGGTCCGCCTGGGATGGAACAAGCAGGACCCCAGGTACATGGCCACCATTATCATGGACAGCGCCAAGGTGGTCGTCCTCGACATCCGCTTCCCGACCCTCCCCGTGGTCGAGTTGCAGAGGCACCAGTCCAGCGTCAACGCCATTGCCTGGGCCCCACACAGCTCTTGCCACATCTGCACCGCCGGTGATGACTCCCAGGCCCTCATCTGGGACCTCTCCTCCATGGGCCAGCCGGTGGAGGGTGGCCTCGATCCCATTCTGGCCTACACGGCTGGGGCTGAAATCGAGCAGCTGCAGTGGTCCTCTTCCCAACCTGATTGGGTTGCAATTGCCTTCTCTACAAAGCTTCAGATACTCAGGGTATGAATAAGTATGACCACTGACCGGGCATTTCACTAACTCCTCCAGACTCCAGACTCCAGTTTGCCACCAACCAAATGCCATCGCTCAGCTGCTCTTTAGTCAGTCCTCCTTGCTAGCTCGTAGTTCCTAGTCATAATTGAGATAATACTGCCTCACTCTGTTACTTTATTGATAATTGATGTCAACATTAGCTGAAGCCATATATGATTTGGTTATCAATATTGCATTTCATGCTCCTTGCCTCCTATATTTCTTACGAAAATGCATCCTGGTTGATGATAGTCTTGGATATCTGCTATTGAAAAGATAATTAAATTGTATCTGATTTCCATCCGTTTGTTAGATAGATTGCTCAATCTTTAATAACTATGCTATCATTTGATTTGCTATGTTGATATTGCTCTGCATTTTATTTCTGTTTCGCCATGCCATTTTCGTATGAGAAAAAAGAGATTGTCACCTACCTGACCATCTCAGTCTGCTCCTTAGCTTGAAATTCAGTCGCATACACATATACAACATCTTCTTTTGAAGGGTTTAGCGTTTTTTTATTTGACTAAACAGTATGATTTAATGAGTAATGCAAGTATGACTTGACAATTTGTTAGTGAGTTTGTTTCCTCATTACTAGTGGGTCACATGTGTGTAAGGAATGCCTCAATTTTTCTCACTGCAGTATGAAATTGCATTACTACCTTCATTCATAGCGAACACTGAGTAGTTGATAGAAGGTATATGACTCTGTTAGAAGATCTAACAGTGAAATTTTTCAACAGAATATGTTGAGAATCTACAAAGTGAAGTTGAATTAATTAGTTTGCATCAAGGATTCACTCTTCGAAGGTTTTTTCTCTGTCGACTGCACTTACGTTCTAGACCTACCTTCCAGCTAATTGTGGTTAACAACGGGTTCTCAACCAGTCTGTTAACCAACTCTTTGAATCTCACACTAGGGTTTTCATTCAAAGTACAAGCATTTTATGCTAGAAAGCTGGAAATGCTCCATCGGTAACACTCTATAAGATGTCATTCCCGAAACGTACCTTGGAATCAAGAGAACATTTTATGTCAATGTCTCTCATTGTGGGAAAGGCACGACAAATTGTGGAAAAAAAAATAGTAAATTTGAACTCTTATCTGAGAAGGAATTTCGTAAAAAAATTATTTTAGGGACGAGGCTAGGTAGCTTGTTGCTGCCTTGCTGCTTTTGAAGCGTTCGCGGTTCTGTTAGAGGTGTTGGCGAGTTGTGTATTTACAAATAGTGATTTCAACACTTTTTTTTTAATTACCTTCTGCACCTATTATCATGATCGTTGATTTTATTTTAACTGTTCATCCTAATGGTTGCATGTTAAGAGGGATGTGCATGAGATGAGAAATGCTGTATGAAATTTCTTTTAACTTGTTGCCCTTTTATATTGAGTGCAACTTTGCTCAACCCTTCAGGGGGTGAGCTGCTCATCTCCTTGATTATCGTTAAATTAGTTTGGTTTAACTAATTTTAGATGCATATTTCAAAACTTAAACTAATTTAAACGGCAATCAATGGGAGTTAAATTAGTTTGGTTTAACTGATTTTAGACGCATATTTCAAAAATTCAACTAATTTAAACGGCAATCAATGGGAGTGAGCATCACTCTCACTTTACAGGTGAGCAAAAAATGCACTCTTGTAATTCCATTGTAATAAGAATTAGTTTCCTATTGTATTTCATATCCCCTGGATTGCGATCCATGTAATTCCTATATATATTTCCTCCAAGTTTAAAATATGAAAAATACTTGTTTCTTCTAACATAAAATGAGTTTTATACAAAATACTTGGTTATCAAACTCATCACAAATAAGAGCATGGTTTCTCTACGGTCCCTGCCTTGCCTTTGCAATTGGGTTGCCTCTAATCCAAAAAAAGCTTCTCCATAGGTCTAAAAATGGGAAGGCAACTGGCCAAAGGCTTGTGCCGTTAGACGAGAGAGGATCCTTGCTGGATCCTCTTTGTGAGAATCTCGGGGATCCTCTAATCATATTTGTACATCATATATCGTGCGATTAATTTTCTTTAAGTATTGTTTATATTCAATTTTAAGAAAATTTACAATGATTTCTGATCGCACGATATATAATGAACGGATATAATTTGATAATCCCGATGATCCTTACAAAGAAAATCAGACGAGGATTCCTCACTTCCGTTGCAATTACACTCGCAAGAAATGTCTGGGCTTGAACTAACTGGCAAAAAAAATGTTGTTGTGCCATGTGGCAACATGTGGCGCTTGATTTCAAATTATTTTTGGAAATCAACGGTTAGGATTAATTCAAAAAGTAAAATTCCAAAAAATTCTTAAATTTCCAAAAAAAAAAAACCCTTTTGTTTGTTTTTTTTTTTCTTCCTATAAATACCCAACCATCTTATTCTTACCCTCACCACGACTCAATATTTATTTTTACTAAAATCTCTTACATTTATTTTCTACTTTCCAAATCCATTTGTCACCACAAAAATGAGTGAGGACAAATTGGTCGATAGAGGAAGACATTGCTTTGCATTGTAACAACCATTTTATTTTCAGGGAACAAACTTACAAAGCATGAAAAAATATATATATATTTGTGAATAGTAACCATTCTCCTCATTCACGTGATTCAAATAGGGTTCTGCTAGATCACCCTATTGTCTTATTTTTCTACCTACTATGGAGTTAACTTTGAAAGGTAAATTAAGCCAATAGGCTTTTTCGGATAGAATTTTTCTAAGAGATTTTTCTTAATTTTGGGACCGAAATAGGATTTTTCAGATACACATAGACCATGAACACACCATACACAACAATAGGATTTTTCCTATATCTTAAATGATCTAATTGCCCTCCCATCTAAATGGGTTACCCAAAAATTCTAACCCTCATTCTCATTTTGTAGAGAAAGAAACAAAGAAGAGAGAGAGAGAGAGAAACATCCGGTCCTCCTACACCCGCAAATATCTTTCTGGGCTTCAACCCACGTTGTCTGCAAATCAAGCAAGTTCGGCCATCCTGTCCTCTCATTTTAGTACTTCCAGCTTTTGTAGTTCTCTCTCTCTCTCTCTCTATTATTTTCTTAGCATTTATCCTATTGATGCAATGGGTCATTTTCTGGAATTTGAGTGATGTGGCAAAGATCAGAGCTTTCAATTTTTTAATTTGGGATTTTTGTTTTTACTATGAGAAATTAGGGTTCTTGATGCAATACCTGGAGGGAATCTTCAAGTGCGAGAGTTTTGGAGCAAATCTTTGAGGGGTGTGGTGAGTATTTTGCCTCCGTTTTGGGAAATCAGGTTTTGGGAAAAGTTAAAAAATCTCGATGCTAATCACGGCAGCGTTGTCGCCGTCGAGGTCGAAAATGAAGTTGGGGGATGATACGTGCAATGACGTCGATTTTATTGTGGATGTGCATCGTGCAATTAACGGTGTTGGAGGATACGTGGGTGCCAAGATTCTTGTAATCCTTTAAAATTTTGTATTTTACAAACCTTTGATTTGAACCTAGATTCTGGAATCCCTTTAAAAATCATCTATTTCCAGTGACATGCACACAATATGCACATGATATGCTCACATATCTGAGCCAACCTAAAAACTCAAAGCTCACATCTCTCTCTTCGAAATCAGAAAAATGACGTCATCACTTTTGAGTTTTTACAATTTATGTGTGAGTATTTTTTTCATTTCAGTTTTGTGCATAGTGCGCATAGCTTGTACGTGACCGGTTTATCCTATTTCAGTTATAAGATTAAGAAAATAAGTCATTTTTGGACCCAATAAACCTATTTCTACACCCATTAAATTTTTGTTAAATTTTATATTCCAATTATGCCTTAAACAAAAGATGGGTGTAGAAAGATAGTATCAACTGGGGAATGGGTGGGTCGAAATGGCCCTGAGAGCCACAATTGGCGGTTGGGTGGGTTGCCGGAATTCAGAAAAGGGATCGCCGGAATTCCGGTGAGACATATTCTGTGCTATTAAAAGCAGACCAAGACCCTTCAAGAAACTATTGGATCACAACAAATGTGGTTAGCTGGAACGCCACCACGCCACCCGGTTTGGGCATTTTCAATTACTACCCAAACCATCCCAGGAGATCTCCTCCATCAGTACCACCAGCAGGCCCTGCATGGGACAACGTTCGCGCTCGACTGGATCAAAGTCTTGCCTATAAGGCACACCAAGGCTTCATCCACGCACCTCCCGCAACCTCAGACAGAGTCATTGTGCTTCTCAACACACAAAACACCATTAACGGCTTTGTCCGGTGGTCGGTGAACCCACCCAGCCGCCAATTGTGGCTCTCAGGGCCATTTCGACCCACCCATTCCCCAGTTGATACTATCTTTCTACACCCATCTTTTTTTTAGGGCATAATGGGAATATAAAATTTAACAAAAAATTAATGGGTGTAGAAATAGGTTTATTGGGTCCAAATAAAATTTCCCTAGGTTTTGTTTATCAGCACTCTTCAAATATGAGACTTGTTTCAACTAAATGGACTCAAATACCACTAATTTTTAATAGAGTAATACTATCGAGATTAAATTTATAAACAAAATTTACAAACTAAATAATTTGCCACTAATAGAAATGAGCGCGTTTATCAACATTAAAGTAATAATCTAAAATCAACTTTCATATCGTTGAATTTATAAAATTTTATTTACAAATTTAATCTCGTTAGCATTACGCGTTTTAATAATGGGTAATTGCAGTAAAGATCAAGTCAATTCAGCTGCACACGTGTACACTAAAGATCGAACTAGTGGGCAGAAGCTCTAACAAGTTGTTTGGAATTTCATTATCGACGACAGATGAAAATTGGCCCACTAAGAGAATGAGGCTCAGGCCCAAAGGCCTAACGTCCAACATTATATTAGTAGAATATGAATATTCACGTGAGAGGGCTGAGGGCTGAGGGCAGGGGAAGATGTGATGATGGAAGGAGAATTATGAAAAGGAATAGGAATACGAGTAGTTGGGGGAGGAAGAGTAGAAAGAGAGGGGGACACAAAACACAAAGCTTCAAACGACAGCCATTCGTTGAATGATAGGCTCTATCCATAATCTCATCCTCTCCTCTCCACTCTTTAAGTCCTCTTGGTTTAATTTCAGTCATTCCCTTCCAACGACACATTACACTAGTACCTCATCTCATCATCTTAGTTTTATCTCAATCATTTATTCAAATGAATATATAACGACCTTGCGATTTTTGTGACTGTCTTCCTTCCTTCCTCCCTTACCACTGCTTAGCTATATCCTCCCTCCCACCCACCCTGCCCTGAGCTAGTTATTAGTGCATAGC